TCCTAGATAATCATTAGCAAAATAAAAATTGCATTTGATATCCATCTCTCACATTTATCGTTTGCACTTAGTATGATTGCGTCAAACTTGTGATTAGTGTCATAACTTGTCTTTGTGCTGGAATTTGACATCTTCCCAAGCTTCATGATCCTTGCTGGAGTAGATTCTATATATAATTAGATTTGTCAATCTCATAAATCTCATGCCATGTGTATTTTTTATCCCTTTTCATGATTCTATTAATTTTAGTGTTTGTGTTATATACATTTTCATGTCAGTAGGATTCTTAGGTTAATACCATACAAAAGTTCATAAATTTCGAAAGGAATATTTACATACATACCACTCAATTCATGTGTATTTACATATCTAACACCTAAACTTCAATTTATACATATATGCCACTTTACGTATGCATGAAATGGTGTATTTTTGATGTGATATGAAAATTTTTTGTGGTAAAAATGTAAAAATAAAGTTTACGTATTAGATATGTAAATAGATAGGAATTTGGTGTTACATATGTAATTATCGTATTTCAAATTTAGAATTATTAATACTAGATATAGTGCTACGTCGATTCCTTGTGATTATTAAATCATCATGCTATAATATTAGGCCTGCCTAGCATTTAAGCATATATGTGTTTGACACTCGTGTCAGATCATGAATGATGTATCAAATAATCTAGTGTTAAAGAGACTTTCTCCATCAAAAGTGGAGATTTTAGAGACTTTAAAGCAAGAATATGATTAGGCATGCTTATAGATTGGTTGGAAGTTGAATCCATAAAAATCATTATGTTTCTATTGCTCTTTAGTTTAGGGTGTGTTTGAGGCAACAGTGTGGTGGTAGTGCGATGTTGTAACACACTTTGTGGCATTTTGCAAAATGTGTTTTGCCTGGTTTTTTTAAAAAAATGTAGTGTAAAGCTGTGTTTTACAATCTAACCTGACTAAGTGTAGTGGCTGCCAGAAAATTACAATCTAAATTTTTTAAAATTAAAAAGATATTCTAATAGCTGCTACAGCTTTTTAAAAAATAATTTTTTCTGCAACAGCTTCACAACTGCTCATTAAGACAACTGAAGCTTCCCCAAACAAACTCTTCTATTTATTTGTTTACCCTAAAAGATTTTATGTTTATGTAGTGATATGCATTGATTTGACCACATTAAAAAAGCGTTTGATACTATACGTTGGGAATTTATTCTCAATATTTTGAAGGCTAGAGGCTTTCCAACAAATTATTACAATATTATCAAACGATGGTTGGAGAAGAATCATTATAGTATTTTGGTTAATGGCAACTCCAATGGTTACTTTTCTGCTCAACGTGGCATTAAGCAAGGTGATCCTCTATCCCGAACTATATTTATTTTGGTTTTTGATTACTTCTCTCGTTTCATGAATGGTTTGAATGAGACGCACCCTCATGTTCAATACTCACACAAATCAAAGGTTTTGATAATTCATTTGGCCTATGCTGATGATGTTATTCTGTTTTCTAATGCTACCAAATCTGCTAACAAGATTCTCATGCAGACACTAAATGTTTTTCAAAATACTTTTGGCTTATTTTTCAACAAGACAAAATGTCATATTTATTTTGGAAAAGCTGTTAAATCCACTTCTGTCAATTGGGCAACCTCCTATACTGGATGCTCTACAGTCACTCGTCCTCTTAAATATATTGGTGCAAATATCCTTCGTGGTAGGAGAAAACAAACTCAATTTGATGCTTTGGTGGATAAAATTAAGTTCAAAATTGTTGATTGGCATAATGTTTTCCTTTCTAATGGGGGTAGAGTGATTTTACTGAGAAGTGTTCTATCTCTGGAACACATATCCAATAAGTTCCTCTGATCTGGTGGGGGTAAATCCAAAATTTGGGCAGGTTGGCATAAATTTTGCAAGCCACTTACTTCTAGGGGCCTTGGTTCTAAAAATTTGCAGCACATTGTCAAGATTAATATGTATAAACTGTTGTTTAAATTTAGAGCTAGTACTTCTTTATGGGCTAATTTCTTGCATCAAAAGTATTGCACATAGCAACACCCTTCCTTGGTGAACTGGAAGGTTGGGGATTCAAGAATTTGGAAATTTATTCTCAAGGCCAGACTTCTGGCTAATCAATATAATTACTGGGATATTAGGGAAGGCAAGGTCTCCTTTTGGCGCAAGCTCTGGGTTTAAATGATTTTCCTGATGTCACTCCTCCCTTGCACGATAATGATATTATGGTTTCTCACTGTTGGATTAATGGACATTGGGATTTATCTAAACTAAGTGATTTATTGGGGGAATATGCTGCCCTGATAGCTAATATTCCTATCTCAAAGAATAAAAAAGAGACACCTGTATGGAAATTCTCCTCCAATATTTCTATTACTAAAGTGTTATACACCCATTTACATACTTTTACTGATTGAAAGTGGGGTCATTTAATCTGAAATGATCTCCTCTCTCCTTCTATTTTTTTTTTTTTTTGTGGAGATCTTTTCTCTCCATGCTGCCTCTTGATGATATCTCAAAGTTAAAGGGTCTGCGGTTGGCCTCTAAATGCTATATTTGTAGCAATGCTGAACAAACCTCTTCACATCTTTTTTATGACTGCTCTTTCTCCAAAGCTATATGGTTGACGATTGGGAGGCATTTTAGAGTAGTATGTCCACACAGTTATCATTTGGAAGATTTCATGGATGTTTGGAAAACTTCAATTCATAAAAAAACTTGCCTATTCTCCTTTTGTGGTGTTATGGTTTATATGGTCAGCAAGGAATAGCTACAAAAATGGAAATTCTCCTCCTAAACCTTCTCTTACTGTTTCTTATATACTATCACACTACTATAAGGCTTGCCGCAGCTTAAGAATGGATTCAACGGAGCATAGGCCTGAACAGGGTAGGAGGACGCTATTGATTAAATGGCAGCCCCCTACTGTTGGCTGGATTAAGCTTAATATAGATGGCAGTTGGTCTCCATATGTTGCTGGTGTTGGAGGGGTTTTTAGAGAAGATTTGGGAAATTTTTTATGTCACTTTGCTTCACCTGTGTATGCTCAAAGCCCTCTGGAAACTGAATGTTGAGCTGCTCTTATGGGCATAAAGATTGTAATAATTTTTCACTCCTCAAAATTGGTTATTGAAACTGATTCTCTTAATATTTATGAGATGTTAACTAAAGTGACCCAGCCCATGTGGAACTTAGTGTGTCTATTTAATAGAATATGGCATTTAATTTATGCACACCAACTCAACATCCAATTTAGCTTTATCTACAGGTTCTGCTGACTGGTTGGCTAAGAGGGGCTCTGATGTGGTTTCTGTTGGAATTCATCCCCCTCCCCATTTAAGAAAATTGCTGTTAGGTGATAAATTAGCAGTTCCTTATATTAGGATTTAATTACCTTGCTGGTTTCATGTTTTTGATACTCATCTACTTCCCTGATATTCTATATTTGCTCACCTGCCTCTTAAAATGCTTCTTTTTTTTTGTTGTATGGCTTCACATATATATGACTGTTGCTTCCCCTTCTCTGGATGTTATGAGCTGCGGCTAAGATTGTTTTTTCACTGCGGTTACTTCTGCTACACTGCTTTTAGCGTTGGATGGAGGTTTTCTGTTACTGAATTTCCTGGACAAGAGGATTTTTTTGCATCTTTTGCGGCTGTTTCACTGATTTCAACTATTTCATTCTGGTTTTGGTCTTTCTTCCTATGCTGGTTTACAGCTACATTTCAATTATATGGGTATACTTTTTGTTTCTTTTTGAGTATACTTGTTTGTACCTTTTGGAGTTTTACTTGGATGGAGTTGTACTGTGGGAGGTGGAACTCATATGGGTGTGTTTAATTTGTATTTTGTTTCTTCTAGTTAAGGGGATCCACCTCCCCTCCCACTTTTTGTACTTTCTTTTGATCTCATAGAATCGGAGCCGTATAATACTCTTTCCACAAATATATATATATATATATATATATATGTTGAATGCTCCATAAGTAATTGTAGTTAAGTAAATCGTACTACTTGTGCTTCATAAGTTTCATTACTCATTTAAGAATATCTTTACCATAACCAACATGTATCTTGTGTAATTTGGTATTTGACATACTTGATTGATAATAGCTTATGTGATTGAGTTGATATATTATTATTAGCAAAATCCTCACAACTCTCATAATGAACGTTGGGAAAAATAGATCATGGAATCTGAAGAAGAGAATAAATGTAGTTCACTAAACATTCAATCACTTTATGATTGTATCATAGATATTGTAAAATATAATTGAATGCACTTCCATTGATTAGTGAGCATTTTGAGTTGAACTAAACTTCAGTCTAAATCAAAATACTCCAATCCCACATTAACACGCTAACCGTTCATTTATTGCTCGTTTGTGTGTGTTAATTAAAATAATTTAAACTTTATGAAGAAGCCTAACAGCTCAATATTTAAGAGAATGAATTTGAAAATCAATTAACTCGTGTGATTATGCCGGCTACTTAAATAAGCAGCTCCCTAATAGCTCAAAAATCTACTTATTTAATGATGTCTCAAAAGCTTATTAAATTATATTTATAAGCATGTATCTATCAAATAACTAGGTGGCTCGTTAAATTTACTTATTTTTTAATTGAAATTTGAATTACATAAAAAAATTAGAATATTGAGTAAAATAATGGCAAGTTTGATAAAAACTATGAATGTATTTAAGCTATTTAATAAGATAAAATGTTGAAATCACTACTATCTAAAAATAGTTAGTTAGACTCATTTGAAGCTCAGTTGAAGTTTGAACATGATAAAAAAGATATATAAAATAAAAATAAAACAAGCTAGCACTAAATTCTAAAACGTGGGCTATGTACAAATTTAGCTCAAATTCAATAAGAAATCAGTTTAGCTCTACTCTGTAATAGGTTCAACTAAACTGGAAATCTCAATGAAAGTTCATTATAATTGTAAACAGACATTAACAATATGAAAATAGATCTTACCTGAAAAAATCCCGCCAGAGCAATTCAAACATCAACCAATTCATTCCACCGTCTCCTGAAGCATCAACATTCTTCTGAGTTTTTCTTGAAATTGTCCTGAAAAGGCAACAAAACTCTATCAAGTAGCAATTGCAAAAAGACACTATATGGGCAACTAGTTTTATCAGAGAAAATATGTGCCTAGCATTTTTGTGCTTATCATGGAAAGAAAAGTACCATAGGTCACTCTCTTCTCCTGCCAGCCAAAATAGAAAGGTTTGGACAATAATTTTAACTTTAATTTCACTGTAATTAATAGTTTAGATAGTTCTGTAAACAAATACTCATGGTGAAAATGAATAAAATATTTTTTTCTGATCACATACTCTTTTCTCTATATATCAGAGCTAAATTAGAGTTGTCTTTCCAAAACTTTGCTTTTTTTTTCTTTCAATCTTATGCTTCTCACCTTGTTTGAATTTTTGAATTCCGATTCAAAGAGTCAAGCATCATCAATGATAACAATCACACTAATTATGTTAAACTAGAATCTCCAAGGCAACAAATCTTGTATCATTTGAATGGAAGAAACAACCTAATATGGTATCAGATTGTGAAAATATTTCTTAAAGAAAGGAAAAAAGATCCAGCATCTTGTTGATCCATCTCCGAATCTGAAAGACCCAAAGTCTACACTAAAGAAAGAAACAAATTCCATATATATACATACAAGCAACCATTTTTTACATGGAAAGGAGAGTATTAAAGAATTTCATAACAAAACTCCTTTGCTTTTTCTCTCTTTCAATCTTACTCTTCTCACCATGCCTTTCGTGATCGTTCTAGATCATATGAACACGCAGGGAAATAAATTCAGATGACAACAGATATAACTATCCTAAATGTCCCACATGATTGGGATTAGATTAATGAGAGCAGGAGAGAAAATATGTTCCAGAAACTGAGCAAGACAAACCTATTTGCAGTTTTCTTCAGCTCCTCATACATGAAACGAGGAGAAATGCATCCCATTGCCAACCAAGGAGAGATTTTGCAAGAGAAATTAGCACCATAGATGCTTTCCTGAGCACTATTCTTGTAACCATTGTTTGGCTGAGCACGGCATTCAGCTGCAAACTTTGTAAGTCTCCCCAAAGCTTCAGTCTCACCGCCCGCAAGAGAACTGTTAACTGCTGGCTTTCCATCCTGCAATTATCATCTGGTAACTGTGTTGCGGTAATTAAGAGAGATGGTGCACATACAACAGAGTGCCATATATCACAATTTTCCAGCATAAACAAGCATTTGAGATGTTAGGAGTTTTTAAAAATGAATTAGCCGAAGAGGATTATCAAGGCCTAAAAACTGCACTTAAAAGCCAAAAAAAAAAGGATACCGGTTTTATAAAATAAATGAAAATCAAAACTAACAGCAATCATTTATATGAAAAAGAAGTCACACAAGCGCACATTTCAAAAAACTCTTGTACTCAGAAAATTCAGAATATTCCATTGTAGTTAATATATCATTACGATGAATAACAACTTAATAAAAAAATTAAACATCGCATTAGCAATTTTGTGGAACTTCAAAGCATGCGAACTCAAAAGATGGATTGACTGAAAAAAAAATGTCCTAGTTCAAGCCATTGAGTTCCCCTTATTATCCATATTTCTTAAAATCATTGTTTAAAACTCACACGATAAGAGGGGCGCCTCAATGCAATTTTGAAATAAAAAAAGATACAAGGCATACACCTCACCATCAGTCTGATGAGGCTTACGCGCCAGCGGGCCTAAGGTCAGCCTCTAAGCATATATGGGGCGCAAGCCTAAAAAGTTGGTGTTTAGAAAATTTAAAAATTTTGATTTATAAATTTAAGATTAAAATAAATTTAGTTTGTTATTCCTCTACGCTTAAGTCTAAGACTAGAAAAAACAAGAATTGCAGACATCTCCTCGATTCCCAACTGCATGCTACACTCGCAACTGATGCCTCTCACACTAAAATCCCTACAATGCCGCCATTGTGCCCTTATTGCTGCTCCACATTTTTTCTCTATTTAAGGGTAACGCATCTTCATAAGTTTTGTCTTTGCTCGCTATTTTCTTTGATTCCTAGTTTAAAATTGTATGAGGCATGCATTTAGCCCCACCTCCGTGCATTTTACACAAAAAAAAAAATCATAACGAGAATTTGTTGAGATTTGTATCTAATGTAGCGTCCTGTTTGTAAATAGATGGTCTAAAAATTTGTTTGTAAATGTTGTAACTTGTAAGGCTCTATATAAGCCTGTCATCAATGAAATGAAATGCAGGTGATTTTTTTTAGCAATAATTTTTATTTAGTATCAGAGCCTCACCTAGGTCAGATGTCTCTCATCTTCGTCTTCTCCTTCCTCTCTCAGCAACCAATCCAAAGGCAACTCAGGGCTCGCAACAAACAGAGAACCATGACCAAACCCTGTAAGACAATCTCACTGTAAAGGCGGCGACGTCAACAATTTGAGGGAACCAACGGAAGTTCCGCGTCTCTTCATCACAGTCGTCGGAGAACTCTTTATCGACCGCGATATAGTCGTGATATGGGAAGGAGAGGAGCGGCGCAAAGGAGAGGTCAGAGAGTGACGAAGTTGCACGAGGTGTGCAATCAGGGAGATGGATTGAACTACTCACGTGAACAAATGCGGGTAATCGACTCAGTCGTGACATAAGTATCGACAGAATCGTGCAGAACGGCGAGGGAAGCAGGTGAAGCTTCTTTGGTTGTTCTCTGTAGCGCGAGAGGAAGCCTACGACTATGGTGCAACTGAGTTAAAGAAGGGGCATGAGACCTCTATGGCAAAGCCGATCATATTAACTTACAGGAAGGAAGTTACATGTGATCTAGAATTGATTCTTGTGATTGAAAATGTCAAGAGACGAAGATAGTATTGGAGGTACAGAATTGGAACTTCTGAGAAAGATTAATCTCAAAATTTTAAAGGCCTTGGTTGGGCTCATACAGAGAGCCAACGCCTCGACAAGAGCCACTACCTCAACACATGTTTCGACACAGATGAAGCTAGATATTCCTCCTGTGGATCTGAAGCTCGATGGACAAGCCACGTTTCTTAGTTGGTTGCCTCGGATTGAGGCTGCTCTAGAAGATAAGAGACTAAAATGATACTTGATGGAGGTTGAGCCTATGAGTGACAGTGCTGAGAGGGATGAGTGAAGGATAAAACATGCCTTGCTTTACACTTGGCTACTCAACTCGTGGTTTCATCGATTGCCTCATCAGTGGATGACATTCGAACGGTGAAGAAGATCTATGATGAAGCTGAGAACAATGTGAGTGTGTTTCAGATTCAGCATAATATAGAGGCAGTGGTTCAGGGTGATAGACCGATTCAGAAGTATTCTATAGACCTGGAGCGGCTGTGGCAAGATCTTGATCACTTCTCACCTATGTTGAATTGTGGTGATCGAGGATGCAAGAAGAGAAAAAACTTTGCACAGATGAGGACTATGCAGTTTTTGGTTCATTTAAACCCAATATTTAATCAGAGGAGATCGGCTCTCATAGCTTAGGCGACTATTCCTGCACTAATCATTGCAATAATGATACAGGAGGAGAGACGCATAAAACTACAATTTGAGCCGAGTGGTTTTTCAGGTGTACAATCAGCATTGGCTGCGGCAAGCCCAGGTATGCTAGGTATCCAAAGGGTGACTCATAAGTACTACAACTGTGGTGAAGTTGACCACATGAGCATGGCTTGTCTTAAGCTACCTGAGAAGAGAAAGACAGGTGGATGTGGACAATGTAGAGGTCATGGTCGTGGTCATGATTGTGGTTGTCAGAAAAGTGGAAGAGGAAGCTACCGGGTAAATCTGATGGTAGCAGAGGGCAAGGGAGAAACAAGTGTGATCTTTACTAGTGAGGATCATACGTATCTGGAGTTGTTGAAAAGAAAGCAGAAAGCAACAAGAGATGAAGTTAATGATGTTTCAAATCCATCGATATCAATGGATAACATTGTCACTTATGCTCGCTTCAACAAAGGTATTGGTGACACCTATCTCGTCACTAATCATATGACTTTGTGCAATGTTTTGCATGCTCATTTTCCAGTAAATCTCTTATCCATTAGTGTCATTATTCTCGAATTAAAATGCATTATTTTTTTTTATATTCCTCAGGTGATCTTCCAAGGGAAAAGGACGAGCCGGTCAATTAGAACTGGAATGTGGCATAACAAACTCAGGTACTTGAACCGAGAGGGGATACACTCAGCTCTAACATCCATGGTGGAAAGTGGTGTAGTAGGAGAATCTGAGAGGAACGTCAAAAATGTGTTACAGCTACATCACGACGTATGAGACATTCTAGTCTTAATTTATTGAATTAGTTATATTCTTCTACGTATGAAAAGGCAAATAAGAATAAACTAGTAGGTGATGCTTGTGAGTTTGGCAAGCTCACCGGGAGCACTTGTGTCAATTCTGGGAATATGAGCTCTGGTGTGTTTGCTTTAATTTATTATGATGTATAGGGAGCTTGCCTTACTAGTTATATGAATGGTTGTCGGTATTTTGTTACGTTTACTGTTTATTTTTCCCGTGTTACCAAAATATACTTGATGAAGCCAAATAGTGAAATTGTTGCTTGCTTTAACGATTTCCACAAGACAATCCAAACCCAATATGATGCAGTTGTAAAAACACTGAGATATGATAATGAGACAAAATATATCAGTTAAATATTTGTGGACTACATGCAGCTTAAGAGTTACAACACTGAACCACATGCCCATACACACCAGCATAGAATGTAATAGCAGAAAGAAAGAATTGACATCTTCTAGAGGTAGCCCAGAATATCATGATGACAATGAATGTTCCACAGCACTTATAGAAGCAGACAGTGTTGATAGCCGCTCAATTGATTAACATGATGTCCTCAAGAGAGCTAGCATGGAAGTCTCCTTGTCAGATGTTGAAAGGAGACAATAGTGAGATTCTTCCAATGAAGGTATTTGGATTGTAAAAGACAACAGACCATCTATAGGAAAGTTACATTCAAGAGCTGTGAAATGTGTGTTTGTGGGTTATTCTGCTACTCAAAAGTGTTAAATCTACTGGAGTCCAATTGAGAAGAGACTCTTTTTGAGTAGGAATGTGTTATTCAGAGAGTTTGAACCATACTACAATCTAGACGTGAATTCACCTTTTGTCAACTCAACAAACACTAGAGATATGAGGCAAGAGAGAGTAAGTGGTAGTGGTAATAAAGTGGTGCAAGTGGGAGCAAAGTCATGTACTGTGATGTGAGATGAATCAACTGTAGAGACAAATATCGAGAAGATTAATCCCAGAGGTGGTGGGATTCAAGCTAAAAGTAAGTTGAGGGTGTATAAACAAAAGAAGCAAAATGAAGAAACAGAGTCTGCAGTGCCAACAAGTCTCTTGTCCCCGTATTCCTCATCTCTTGAGACACATACACCATTCACCTTTGATTCAAAACTCCTACGTGATATTATTCCTCCTCCGTCCATTCCTAACCCCCAAACATTAAGAAAGAGCCCCCGCAACAATGCAGGACATCCTCCTAATCGTTTTGAGTGGGAACTTGACACTGTGAACTTTATTTCTTATTCTAACATTTCACCTTTGCATGAAACATTCATTGCATCATTGGACGATGTCTCTATACCCAATTATTGGCAGGATGCTAAAGAGGATCTCAAGTGAAAAGTGGTGATGCATAAAGAGCTTAAAGCGCTTGATAAGAACCGAACATAAAAGATATATCACTACCAATAGAGAAGAAGACAGTTGGATGCAAGTGAATCTTCACGGTAAAGCATTCTCCAGAAGGAAAGGTGAGAGGTACAAAGCACAACTAGTGGAAAATGATACAGTCTGACGCATGATATTGACTGTGATGAAATATTTACACCAATTACAAAGAAGACAACAGTGAGTACACTGTCTTCTCTAGTAAATGGTGGATGGATGATCCACCAACTAGATGTGAAAAAATGTTTTTCTTCATAGGGAGCTACTGGAGGAGGTATGTATGAAGATACAACCAGGATTCAGTACATGCCAAGCAAGGCTCAGGAAGTCATTGTATGGTTTAAAGCAGTTTCCTCAAGCTTGATTTGATAAGTTTAGAATAGCGATGATTGGCATAAGATATCAGCATATCAATGCAGACCA